ATACATGCCTCAATGTGCTACAACAACTACCAAAATAGAAATCAATTTGTTGATAGCATTTTTAAGTGTTGTTATTAGTGGTCTTTTTCAAGTGTTTTTAAAGAACTGATAATTTTAACTTTAAAAACTTTAGTATAATATTCATAATCCCAAAATTCTATCAGATCCTGTTTTTGCATAGTCATGGTGTAGTTTGTTATTATTAACACTGATTGAGAGATATTCGTTCTCCAAGTTGAAGGCTATGGCACAAGGCCAGTAGGAAGAAAGGTGAGGAGTCCCAGCTCCCCCAACATAGTTCTGCACCCAGATTCCTTTTGTTCTATCTTGGCCTGCCTGACCTGTCGACCCCAGTCAAACCCCTTCCAGTCCCAGGGGCCTAAGATCCCAGCAGCTGAAGGCTACCCCCAACCCTGCCCCCCTAACGGGCCCGGACACACTGCCTATGTTGGTCAATACCCATACGCTGACCTTTCACACTGGATGCATAAAACACATCTTAACACTCCCTAAAATGTTCAGATTTAGAGGCTGAGACTGTAGAGGTTTTAAGGTAAAACACAAATTTCATGATGAAGAAGGTGAAGGCACAGGGGTCGTTTTAGTTAATCTTATCAAACCAAGTTCACCTGGATTGTTATATATTTCTATATTCTTTGTAGGCTTCAAAAGAAAACACACCATCGTTGTGTAATAATTTATTAGGGCTTATTGATCGTGACACCACATTTATCAGACAGTTTTCTCTGTCTTTGCCCTCTATGTATGACAATGCATGATAAATGAGAGGTTGTTCTAACACAAGAGACAGTGCACTGTCAATAAATGGTGGAGGGCTATTTTTTAATAAGGAACATTATTTGTGTAACATATATATAGTGTTTGTGTGCATACTAGGCCTTTTTAAGTAATATTCCCACTGCCTTTATCATTATATGTATTTAAGCTCCTCTATTTGTTATTCCTCTGCTTTATAATTTTAGACTAGCGATAATCATCTTGTGTATATAGTTCATGTTATTTGGGTGCTGGGGGATTATTTATCTTGCCAGATGCTTTTCACTTATTTAAAGACTAGTTTGAGCTGCCGTTGCTTGTAGTTTCAGCTGAAAATTTGTTTTCATTTCAGACCCAAGGAGAATGTATCATGTCAAGATCCTGGCTGTCGGTCAAGCTGGAGATGGTTATCAGACAGACCAAACTATCAGCACTCCAGGATGTCTGTGTATGTAAACTTTTTGTCTGGCAATTTAAAAGTAATTTTTTTAGATGATGATGAAAATGTGATTTTTTTTTCATTGTGTATGTCTTTTCAGCGGCTAGAGACCAACTGACATCCTCACCTCCACCTCCAGATCATGTAACTGTCACAGCAGGAAACTCATCCTCAGTGACACTACGCTGGAGCTGCCCTGCATTTTCTTCAGGAAAGGCCGTTAGCTTCACGGTCCGCTGTACACCTGTGGGCACCCATAATGCATCTGCCATACGCTTCCTACAAACGTAAGATGAGAAAAAAACAACTGTACACACAAACGTATTTAGATCGTTGCCTTTAAATGTTGATTTTAAGTGATTGAATGATTTGAAGCATTCTTTGGCGTATCAGAGAAATACTGCATTGATATTGTTCACATCCATCCACCTTTAAATAATGTGTCATCATTTTAATGAAGATATACACATTTATGTTTGTTTATTTACAGGACAAAACAGAACGTGGTGGTTCTGAATTTGGGTCCAAACACTCGCTATGAATTTGTTGTCCGTCTCCATGTCGATCAAATGTCCAGTCCATGGAGTTCAGTTGTTTACCATCAAACTCTGCCTGCAGGTAAAAAGTTAAACCATGTGGTTTGTTTGTTGTTCTTGTTTCATTTACCGCCTCTGAGTTAAAGTCTTAAACCAAACATTCATCAGGAAATTTGTCATGCTTATGTTTTTGACAAATGTGACAACCATGTGTACAGCACCTGGCCAACCACCTGCAGGTGTGCGAGTGACGCTAATCGAGGACGACACAGCTCTTGTGTCCTGGAGGGAGCCCACAGAGCCCAACCTGGTGGTCACACATTATACCATCCTGTACGCTTCTCAGAAAGCCTGGATGACTGGTCACTGGCAGGTCATACAGAGGGAGGGTGAGTAGTTCATGTAATCAGTACTCAGGTTCAGTAGTATCTGATGCACTGATCTAATTCTTAATGTTTGATTTTCCTGTCACTTTCAGGAATCCACACTATGGCCCTGCTGGAGAAGCTGGAGCCAGGGAACATCTACCTGGTGAAGATTTCTGCCTCCAACCAGGTTGGTGATGGTCCTTTCTCCAACATCGTGGAGCTGCCTCTGAAGCGAGGAAACAACCACCGCACCCACCGTCACTCTGACAGCCACCCAGACAGGACAGGTAATCATCCCTACGGCTCATAAATGTATAATGACCGTAATACAGTGCACAGCAAACAATAGTATCAGTGTTTTGCTGCTTCTCATTTAATTAGATTTTGAATTTTGTATGGGTCTTAGTCAATACTGTCCGTTGCTTTCGATTGCTCTTATTATTTAAACGTAGTGAATAGACGTTCACCCTCATGTAGGAAGCGAACCACTAGAAGGCGTTGGTCAACAACATTACTGACATTGGATTCACTGCCCCTCTTTTTCCAAAAAAGATTTCAGGACGCCCTCTAGTGTTTAAGATTGGTACATTATTTTTAAATCCAACATCATGTGTGGAAACTCATTGCAAACTCATTAAATTCCTAGAAATTCATATATTGTAGTATAATAAAGGATGAACACATGCTTCCCTATTATTTGACCAGTCAATGTTATCAGGTAGATCTATGACAATATCAATAAAGAATAAAGACCCAGACAGCATGTCCATAATAGATAGGTGAATAATGACTGTGATCATAGTATCAGTTAACTTAACTCAGTGACTCCTTGTTTTGTTTCCAGTGTTCTCTGATGGCCTGTACAACATTGACCACAGGTCAATGACAGGGATCATTGTTGGTGTGAGCATTGCCTTGGCCTGTATTGTCATGTGTGCTTTGATCCTCATTAGCAAGGGTCGTCCAAGGTACAGGTTACTTTCATTTTGGACAAATTAGACAATAATCTCATAAGACATAAATATTGACATGCTGTTAATATTTATGTACAGAAAGTCCAGTCACAAAATGATGGCTGCGGGACCAGCTGAAGGTCCACATGCTGCTGTGTCCCTGTCCAGGGAACGTCACACAGAGAACATGGACGTCCTTATACCTATGATAAGCAGTCACTTCTTAGATGTCAAAGTGAGTGAGACTGTGAGAAGGAATATTTTATATTTATCTAAACTAAAGCATCTGCTCTAACAAGACATTGTTTGACTCATTTTAGGGTGGATCTAACATAATCATTAATAGTGCTGGTCCAGTCAACAAGACCAACAAGTGGCTTCTGTTTAAGAGAGAGACTGAAAACCCACCAGAAAGTGACGTAAGTTTTGTGACTTCTAACATTTACATTTTTTTAATTGGATTCTCCTGGTCCTCATGTGTGTTTGATCTTGTTTGCTCTTAAAGGCGGAGAGGAACGCCAGCTTTTATGAACGTGGTAAAACCATACTGAGGTATGATGAAAATCTAGGTTCTGCTCCTCTGGCGCCTTCATCACGGGAGATCATCTATGGACCAATGCATTCAGAAAGTTCTCAGAGCAGCGAGGGTAGTCAAGAGACAGGAGACTCTGGACACTACTCCAGTGAAGACAGCAATGAGGAAATGAGCAATCCTTCCACAAGTCGAAGTTCTAGGCCTGAATCTATTGGGTCAAACGATGGGATCGCTGTCTCTGAGCTAAAGCAGTCTTTGGAGGTAGAAAACGAGAAGATGCTGAGCCGTGCCCTCCATTACTCAGCACCTGGTGATTCTCTGCTCTGCTGCACTTTGGAGGGCTCTCATCCCGACCTGCACACTTCCCAAGCTGCTAGCTCCTGACCTTCCCAGGCCAACGTCTGCTCCTCAGCAGCTAGAACTACACCATTTCTGTCTCGTTTGATTCTCTCGAGTTGAGTGCCTCCATTATTACCTGAGGCCCAGAGGATCTGCAGAGCTACTGCTTAGGTGGAGAGAATGTGCTTTGGCTCCACATCTACCTCAGGATATTGTGTGAACGATTGTTACAACATTTTATTTCCATTTAATTTTTACAACTTTCTACCTGTTTGACTGTGTTTGGTGTCGTCTGCCCTGAACCAGAGCTCACCCATGATGAATGTCAAAAAGAATGTTTGAAATGTGCAGTGGTACATTGTCATTATATTTAATTTCTTTCCACTGGAGCGAAGGGTGTAGTACAGCCCTTTTTTACTGCTTATCTACCTCTTGTCTTGTACATACATGACTACCTCCCTTTGCACTGTGTTTGTGCAGTGTTACCTCAGACTCAGGGGATGAGGTGAACACCTTTCTGTGTCATGTCTGGATGCCTCCGCTGCTCCTCGGTTTTTAAATTTCTTTTCTCTCCGTTTTGAGGTGGAAAGAGTTTTTGTTTCACATTGGTTTTGTTTTTCAGAGTGATGGATGCGGTGAAAACTACAAGTGCATTAGAACCTGTCAAACATATTTAAGTTTTGTCATACGTTTACTGTTTGACATATTCAGTGCACTGAACTGAAAGCTTTAATATGGCCTTAATATGCTGAAGGGCTTTGCAAAGATAGATAAGAGATCCAAAGGCTGGAGAAATTAAACCCAAAGAGTATGTGGTGATACAATGGAAGTTGTAAGCCAGCCAAAAAAATATAGAGGATGTATATTTAAGGTTCGTTTGCCAAAAAAATGACAGTTCTTACCAATGACGATGTAAATGTTCTTTAGAATTGTGGTTTAAATGCCTGTAAATTGTCTTTATTGCTTTATCCTGGTCAAAGCTTTAGCACAAGTCTCCATGGCTTGTGTTCTGTTTGCCTTCTAGACCATTGCTGAATGCAGCGGTGATGCCACTGCTAATATCCAAAGAGTTGTCTGTTTCCTCAGAAGGGTAGGGCTTTAAATTCAGTTGATCCTTGGTGTGATGATGTGGGAATATCTCACTGACCAAAGTGTGTGTGTTCTACCAGTGACGGATGCTTGTATTTATTCTCTTGGTCGGAGAATCACCAGTCACTGTTCAGTATTACTGCATGAGGAAGAACTCATCTCCCTCTAATATTTCCTGTCCAAGGTGAGACAATGAAGAATTCTGACTATCATCAATGAAACCCTATGTGTGAACAGCGACATAATCATTTTTTATACCTTTGTAATACAAATTATCCTAACGAAACCAAAGAAACTTGAAGTCTCTGTTTTTTAGTGATTTTCTTTGGTTTTCATTTAACATAATTTGAATTGAAATGTGATCGATTTCAAATGGTTTTGATTACTAGAAAGGCTTTTTACATAGTTCTTTTTTTTAAGCTTGAGATGTCAAAAATGATTCTGTTGTCTTTTCTTAACCTGATTTTGCCTGAGTTGTAATTGCAATACATTCAAATTCCATTGAAATTTTAGTTATATCCATTCCCACTTTCCACTTTTATTTTATGTTTTGTTAAATTAAAATGGCAGTTTTTATGTTCGGATTTTGTCAGTTAAAAGGTTCATTTAAAAAGCAACAACATTTGTGCTGACTCTACTCAGGTGCTAAGTATAGATTTAGAATGTAGATTTTACTGTTATTATTTAAGTTATGTTTTTTGATATTTCTGCTTTTGAATACCAAAATACATCTATGAATAATTGTGAGTAACAGAACAAATTACTGTATGTGTTGGATTGTTGCAACGGATGTTTTGACACTCTCAAGATCAATAATAAAATTCTTCTTGGAAAAATACAAAGAATGTCATCTTCTTTGTGTCACTTTTTTTTGGTCAAATGTCTGTGTATTTTGTTTACCACAGAAATGATGCAGCAAAAAATACTTTTTTTTAACATTAATTATATAATAGTCATTCAAGAAAATTACTGAACACATTTCCAAATAACACTAGATAAAGCATATTAAAAAGTAGCCCATAAGTGTGTTTTTTTTTCTTGTGATACTTGACAAATCTAGAAGTACATTTCTTCTGTACTTGTCTGTAATTATCTTTAATGTTCAATTGATACAGTACAAGAAGCAACGCGGGGTTACATTTCACTGATCATGTGACAAATACAGTGATGTCCTGAATCATGAAGGTCGATTCAGTTGTCTAAAAGTAAGCTCTGGGTGTGGAAATATTTTAAGATTGCGACATGTTGACAAAACATTTAAAAAAGACAAACAATTACTAAAATATGATCTAGAAATAGTTAATAGTGGCTAGGTTTTTACCAAAAGTCAGAAATACAGTAGTCTACAGTTACACAAAAATAGCTAAAACATACACACTTCTACAAAATCAAATAAAGTAAGGATGGGTAAGAGATGAAAATGAGTCAAACTATATTTATACGATTACGTTAAAATATTTTTACTATGGTACATTGAAATTTGTAGTCATGGAGTCAATGGTAGAAGCTAACGACGAGGCACACTGTCCACACGGGGGCACTCACTGGCAGATTCTCATTGAGCAGCAGAAGAAAACCAGGGCTCGGTCTTGTTTTTGTCGGTGTTCGCTCTCGGCACTCGTGCTCCGAAGATGCGCATCGAAAAGTGTTATTTCTGCTCGGGACCTGTGTATCCTGGACATGGGGTGATGTTTGTACGAAACGACTGTAAGGTAAGGATTTAAGTCTCTACTTGTATGACCCTGATGTTTTGTTAAAACTCAAGTTTTCTACTTATGTCTCCCTGCTAGCTCACATGCTAATGTAACGTGTAGGTTAGTCACTCACGTGGATTTCTATCGAGGATGATAGTTGACTGACAGAGTGGAGAACTGAGCCACACATGCGACTAAATTGTTAGAATAGAAGAATGTATCGTAATCTGGGAAAATGTTCACGTATTCTGTCTATACCGCGTTTGTAATAGAACCAGTGGAACAGAAGACATTTAACTGACAAGGCCTCGGTATTATAAATAATGCCAGGTTGCCCCCAAGTGGCGTACTTTGGAAATGCAAGCTTCTACTTGTCGTCTGGACATATTCACAACATTATAAACTAAACTCTTGAAGTAGAAACACTTTGGACGAAGATGCGATACAAAATGGATAAAATGGCACTCCAGAAAAACACTGGAAGTCTGTATGTTTGTTTTACAGTGTTTGTACTTTATACATACTCACAACTGTGCAGACAAAGTCCTGTTTCTTTGAGCTGCATGCTGTGCCGTGCGCATAACTTTTTTTCTCAAATCCTTTTTTCTCATAATTAAATGCAGACGTTTAGATTCTGCAAATCAAAATGTCACAAGAACTTCAAGAGGAAGCGCAATCCAAGAAAGACCAGATGGACCAAAGCATTCAGAAAAGCTACAGGAAAGGAGCTTACAGTGGTGAGTTTGTTATGACTTCAGATCACTGACTGTAGATCTGCTGCCATTTGTCTTTTACCATTAATGTTTGTACTGTTTCACAGGACAACTCACTGGAGTTTGAAAAGCGCAGAAACAGACCTGTCAAATACAGCAGAAAGTTGTGGGACAAGACAGGTAACCTAACCTGCATCTATAAAGCGCTGTGTTTACAATTGTAGTTGTTATTCATTTCATCAGGTAATTTATGTTCAATTGCTGTAATTTGCAGTGGAAGCGATGAAGAGAGTTGAGGAGATTAAACTGAAACGACAGTCCAGATTTATCATGAACAGGTGAGTTTGTTTTTTTCTTTCATTTTGAATGATAGATATTGTTGAGCTATTTCCTCATATCCTGTAAAATGTTTATTTAACATCAACCTTCAACATTGTTTGTCTGTTCCATTTTAACGTATTCTCCACTTTATAGATTAAAGAAGGGCAAGCAGTTGGAGAAAGAAGAAGCCATCAGCGAAGTGAAGAAAAACATTCACCTTATCAAAGCTCCACATGCCGGTGAATACCAATCTGATTTCATTTGCCTGCAAAATCCTTTTATTAAACATAGTTGGACGCTCTGTGTGTGTACGTTACTAATGTAGTCTTGTTTTACAGGAAAAGCCAAACAAATGGAAGAGAAAATGGTGCAGAAATTACAGGAGGACGTCGACATGGGGGATGAGGATATTTAGGTGTAGGCTCATTGTGTTTCTTCTGTTTCGCCCTGTATTATTTTGTGCTGATGTTTATTCCAGATAGTGAACACAAAAATATGTTCTGTTTTTAAGGTCTGAATATGTCTTCAGAGCAGCAGCATTTACTGGCCACGTCATTGTCTTTACTGTGAAGGTCAGGCATGTCAGGAATTTACTCAATTCTGTTGCATTCTTTAACATTAACAATTAGTGTTATTAGGTATTTGACAGGATGTTAGACACAGACTTGTGATTTGTTCTTTTTTCTTGACAGTGGTTCATATACTGATTAAAGTCCCAGATTCTACAACATCAATGGTGTATGGAATCTTCATTAATTGACTGTATTTATCTTCTACAACTTATTTAATCCCAGCAGTCTTTGGGGAAGTGTGGCTTATCTCTCATTGGCTAGGCCACATATAAAAACAACCATTCACCATAGAGTACTAGCCTAGCTTCAACCATGTGTATCTGTTAAATAGTTTGAAAATAAATAGTTATTTGTGTGGTCTCAAAGGGGTTGACCTACATCAACAGAGCAAAAGGCAGGTTTGACTGTTTACTGGAAACTAGTTTTTTTTTTCACCCCACTGTGATCATGTTAGCACTATAGAGCAGTGTTTCTCACCGTTTTTGAGCAAGGCACGTACCTTATCTTAAGAAAATACCACCGCATGTTCAAACAAAGTACCAAAAATTATATGTAATAGAATACAGTGACCTAGTTGTATTCACAGTTGGAACACAAATCTGATATAGTCGCAGGAGTTTAAGAAAGCAAAAATCTGCTTCGATAGCTGTTAGTTTGTTTATTTATTTATGTATTACCTAGTTAGAAAGTATTTCATTGTTCTGCCTGGCATGATCGTATTGATGAACGAAGACAAATTGAATTAAATAAGTAATGATGACCTGATGATTGCAGTATACTTGGTACTTACAGACATGGCATAGTGTTTGTCTCTTCTTTAGAATAAGATCATACAATGCATACAATAAAATAAAAGCAAATAAGATGCAACAACAAAAATTGAACATGTGAAAAAAGATAAATATCACAATAACTATAATTCAAATAGCATACTTAAATACTAAACTCTGGACAGCATCAACAATAATGAGCACCCTTTTCGACCAATGAGTGTGCTACTCTAAGTGGCTGAATCATTGTCTCTGGTATCGATTCAGCGGCCTGTTGCTGTCCAGGCGCAATTGCTGGCCCGCCTCGTTTCTTTCTACACTGCTGCCTTTCATCCACCAAAAGAGGACGGATACGTCCTGACTTCACTGAGCACAGTAACGATTTACTGCAGATATGTCCGAGGAGATTGAAGAAATGACGGCTTCGGAAGTGCAGCAGGTAAACCCTAATGCTAAATGAGTCATTATTAAAATAATCGAAATATAGTTCCTCATTTAATATGGTGATTGGTATGTAGCTAGCAGCAGAGCTAGTTAGCGTCTAGCTTGTTCTAGCCAATGTCATCAACGATGCTGTGTCCAAGTTATTTGAAAATTAGCCAATATATATAATTCAAATTGAATTGAAGCCAAGACAAACGGCTTTCTAATCACAGTTTTTGAGGACAGACATGTTTAAGGAAGTGATAAATTGGCTGTGATATTTTATCAAACATGCTACATTATGAGCTAAAATGCTGTGCAAACATTAGTTGGGTGTTTCCTTCGTCATGGCGCCAGTCAATAGATGTAATAGTTCCTAATTCTGAGTTAATGGTTCATATACTTGTGTGGTGCTTGGTCCTGAATACATAAATTCATTAATAAAGAGCAGTGAACCACTTGTGTACTTGGTGTACTGTTTTAACAGGAAATGGAGGACAAAGTTATCAGCCCTGAGAAAGCAGAGGAGGCCAAATTAAAGGCCAGGTATCCTAATATGGGAGCCAAGCCCGGAGGTTCCGACTTTCTCAGGAAAAGACTACAAAAGGGGGTGGGTGTCTGAAATAAACCTAACCAGGTCCAGCTCGCTGCCAGTTTTGTTGCAATAGTCTTACAACATCCTCTGTCGTTTTGTTTGTGCAGCAAAAGTATTTTGACTCTGGGGATTACAACATGGCCAAGGCAAAAATGAAGAATAAACAGCTGCCATCTGCGCCAACAGAGAAGGCTGAGATCACGGGGGGCCACATCCCAACACCTCAGGATCTGCCTCAAAGAAAGACTTCCATTGTGGCCAGCAAGCTGGCTGGTTGATGTTTTTATATTCATTGTATTATTTACTGTTCTATTCCCCTACTTCATAGCTACCTGTCAGTTTCATTTTGGTTGTATTTATTTCTCAGTTTTGTATGTATACCCACAGAACATGATATGTATTAAGCCAAATTCCAGATAAGATGTGGAAGGATTTGGTTTGCAATCAGAAATATAATAAGCAGAAATATGTTGTTATCTGAAGATCTCAAAAACTTGATGATGTACTAATACGTGATTGCGACCAACTGTTTAAAGAATCTGCGTTCATCACAACAACAAAAAATGTCAATTAGATACTAAAACATGATGTGTAAAAGTAGGGTGTTTAACTGGTAATATTTTGGGTTGAAAGCTTGTTTTAGGTTCATCTGCTCATCTGAAGGAATAGCTGTGTAGTATAAAGTGAAGTAACTATGCTGTTTTATTTCCTACCTACTTTGTTTGCTTTCTACTTGTGAAGCATTTCAATAACAAGCTCTCTAACTCCTGAATATTTGATCACACATGCAAACACTTTGTAGCCGCATGTATTTTTTTTATTCATTTTAGTGACATTGGTTTGCCATGACTTGCTGCTGGTTTCCATCTCATCAGACCTCAAAAATGGCCTTAAAAATTATGAACCATTGCTCTTGAGCAATATTTGCTCCCTCAGTGAGATTCTTGGTTGTGAAATTTGCCTGAAATGTCTGTCACCGTCTGACTGAATCACTTAGGATTTTATGGGACCTCCTTTGACATGTATGGGGTGTGCTTGTGCACATATGGTGCAGTCACACTGTGCCATTCGTTTTGTAAATAAAATAGTTTTGCATAATAATCTTAGATTCATCTGGGAAGTCTTTGGATTTTAAAAATGTTCATATGACTGTTTCTTAAAAAAACATGCCTACAGGTTTGGCTTATATATATAAATATATGTATATACTTCATATGTAAGAACTGGCAATACACTGCTACCTACTGCCTTTTAGAAATAATGACTTTGCTGAATGTAACGAATGCTTTTTAACATCTGCATTGACAGATTCAACTAATTAATCCTTGCACATGTCAGGGCTGGATGTGTTTGTGGCCCCGGGTCTTGGCTTACTTCTCTGAGATACAGCCCTGAGTGTTGAGTGCTTTCCCTGCTCCAGGAAGCTGTGTGGATGATGTGACCTCTCACAGGTATGTAAAGCTATATAAGTTTTATTCAGAAGTTGTCAAGACAATATCAGTCAGTGTTTAAGTCTATGTGTGGATACACGAGAAGAAAATATGCTAAAAGATCCACCCAATTCTAATGCTTTTGTCATAGTTTCAAAAGGCGTTTATGCCCATCTTGTCTCGATACTTATGCCTATCAGATGTTGTTAGCCAATGAGAGGTTGGTGGTTCAGATAAGTGACATAACTGCCAAGACATTTTTTCCACACCTGTACATAGTTACTGTACTAGTTCAGGCCTCCAAAAATAGCAGAGCTTAGACAAAAAATAGGCTTTGACATTTCAATATATTTCAACTTTTTATATTTTTTTAGCAATTGTTGATTTTGTTGAACACATCCCAACAGACATACTGATGACATCAGATAAAGCTATCCCATAATAATGCCTTTCACTGACTCCTTTGACATGTTCTACGACTCCTTTGATGTTTTTTGTGATTTTTTAAATTGTCTTTGGATCATGTTGCTCCAATTTATAGTAACTGGTTTACCCAGAGTTTACCCAAACCAGATAGCATGTGGTTACGGTCAGATAAATACAGTCAAATTAACCGGGGATTGCACGTTATTGTGTACTGTTTTAAAACAAAGTAATAAAATAAAAATAACATTTCCATTGCAAACCTGGCAACCTCATGTGATTAAAATGACCGTGCAGGCCACTGGAGGGCGGGCGAGAGGCAGGGAACCAGGACGTTATGAGTAAACGACTAAAGGTTTTTCCTGCACACACACACGCACGCACTCACGCACTCTCTCTTACACCCACACGCACGCACACAGACAGAGTTCACTTCACTGCTGCGGTGAAGCTCAGAGAAGTCCATGTCTTCTTCTCTGTGAGGCTGTGAAAACGTGTCTCAGTAACCAGCAGTGACTGAGACATGGCAGCCTCTGAACTCTACTCTAAGGTCGGTGGTTTGAAATATTTCTACTTTAGAAATAGCCAATGAGCTCTCATAATGTTTTAATGTTTTTACTGTCTTTTCTTGTATTGTGTACGGTGACCTTGAGTGTCCAGAAAGGCGCCTATAAATAAAATTTATTATTATTATTATTATTATTATTTATGTTACGTTTCTAAACTTAATATCCACACTTCGCCATCTGTCAGATCTAGCTGTAGATTTAAACTGCGGTTTATTTCCACCAGTAACTCATATGATTAGTTTTTAGTTTACTAATTTCACAATGAAACATCGACTGTAAAAGTTCAAGAGTCGTTGGTGGTGGTCGGTGGTCTTCAACATTTGTTTTTATTTAAACACGTGAATGTGCATTGCGCAGAGTGGCTGTGTGACTGCTTTTTATGTATAAATATACCCCGTCAACTGATCAATTTTTATTGTGTGGCACCACCCAGGGGTCGTGGCTGGAGACGTTTCTTTATGCAAATTGTTGTATACTGTATATATTGTTTGCAGGTTTTTCTTTTCTTTTCATACAGTGGATTCGTTTAGAAGCACGATATATAACTATTCTTTTAAAGGTTAAGACGAATTTTAAATTAAAGCAATGATTTCATATCAGTAAAATAAATTATTGGACTAAAGCAGTCAGACTGTTTATGATTGACACCCCTGAAGTTGAGGGAGGGGAGCTCTACACTCTGTTGATAAACAGCAAGAAGCCTTTGTTGCTTCTCTCTTTTCAGTTATGAAGACGTTTTATATATGTATGCACAAATACGCTATGTGAGGACATTTTCAGGTTTGACATTTTTGATAACATTCTGCATTTTCTGCATAAAACAAGGGTTAATACAAAATATTGATTAACCGAATATGTTGATAATTATTGTCTCTTTTACTAAGGAAAGCCCATGATGTCTGCTCTTTGTAATGTTAGCTGGGCTGCTATGATGATGCTATTATGTGTAAAAAAAACATGGCACTGACACACTGTCCGTAATGTCTATTGGCAGCGTGCCCGAGTTTGGCTCCCTGATGCAGTCGAGGTATGGAAGTCTGCAGATCTTATCAAAGATTACGCTCCAGGTGACCTGACACTGTCTGTGCAGCTGGAGGATGGCACTGTAAGACCCAATACACACACACACACACACACACACACACACATATGAACATTGTCTGTCTGTGTGTTCGTCTGTTGTCATAAGTAAAACCCAAAAAGTAAAGGATAGAATTTTGAATGCATAAAGATGTTAATCTTTAACACTATTCTATGTATCTTTTTCTAATTTAATATAAACGTAATGCAGTTTAAACCTACTGTATATATGTTTACATTTTTATACTTTATTCACGATGATATCTATAATATATGTATTCGTTTCAGGTTGTTCATTTAATATTACTGCAATGAGAGGGAAACATATTTATCAAGATTATGCAAAACATACCTAAATTATTTGTTTTACTCTCATTATGTCTGTGAAATTTAGTGTTAAAAACACAACGATGCACTGGGAAAAAAAACATCAGAATGTTGATGAAAACTGTACAAACAGTGTGGTCAGGTCTCTGCTCAGTACTGTTGCTGCCTGCAGCTGAGAGTTCGAGTTGAGGCATGTGTTAGCTATGGGAATGAGACTGAAGCACGTACAGGAGTGAACAGGATTGAGAGAGAATCACTGGCTGCTGCATAACACTGTTAGCTGTTTTATGAACTGTTGCTAATGTTGTTGTTGGTATTTCCTGTACTTGCTCCATGTGCCTGAAAAGCCTTACTTCCTGTGTGTTTTTAGGTGGTTGAATACAAACTGGATCCTCGAACCAACAACCTCCCCCCCCTAAGAAACCCTAACATCCTGGTGGGGAAAAACGACCTCACGTCTCTCAGCTACCTCCACGAACCAGCTGTGCTGCACAACCTTAAAGTTCGCTTTATCGTCTCCAAGCTGATTTACACATACTGTGGTAATAATGAGCTTCATCCTCTGACTCACACTATCACTGTAGACTTTGGAGCCACGCTCACTGTACACGCTGACATAATCTACAGTACACTATGCTGATCATGTGGGACGTCTTAAAGGTGCAAACATCAAAAAGTTAACTGGTTTAGGGACTAACTCAAAACCCCTCTCCCTGTGATCTTCAGGTATTGTCCTGGTTGCCATAAATCCCTATGAGAGTCTGCCTATTTATGATGCTGACATCATCAATGCATACAGTGGGCAGAACGCCAGGGACATGGATCCACATATATTTGCTGTGGCAGAGAAAGCATACAGACAGATGGCCAGGTTGGGAGATGTCCAGTAAAATGAAAACACTCCTTTGGTAATGAACCCACTTTAACTGTTCTTTTGCATATTATCACCTTCACATTTTAATACAGGGATGAGAGAAACCAGTCTATCATAGTGAGCGGTGAGTCTGGGGCTGGCAAAACTGTCTCTGCTAAGTATGCCATGCGTTACTTTGCCACAGTCAGCTGCTCCTCTGGTGACACCTCTGTCGAGGAACGAGTCCTTGCCTCCAACCCCATCATGGAGGTGAACATTCAGACTGCAAAAATGAAGGAACATGCTCAACACTCATTATTTGTCAAAACCATACTGTATGTGTATTTTTCAGGCTTTTGGAAATGCCAAAACCACAAGGAATGACAACAGCAGCCGTTTCGGGAAGTACATAGAAATTGGCTTTGACAGAAAGTATTGTATAATTGGGGCCAACATGCGAACCTACCTACTGGAGAAGTCTAGGGTCGTGTTTCAGGTAATTGTATTTGAAAATATTTTTATTTTCGGTGTCCTAAGGTACAGGCAGAATTGGTCTGTCCCAAACTGTTTCTATTTGTTGAGCTCCACCTCGCAGTAACTCACACCTACTGTATGGTATGTATATTGTAACATTGACAGTAAAGCCTAGCAACAGAATTACAACAAACCTAAATAAATAAAGAATATGTGAAGAAGTTGCTTCAGTCATCGACAAGCTTTCCAATATTGACTTCTTTACTTTCAGTCTCAAGAAGAAAGAAACTACCATATTTTCTACCAGCTGTGCTCGTCATCACACCTACCTGAGTTCAAGGCATTCAAGTTGGGTATGATTATTTCTAAATTAAATCTTTACTTGACATGACATCAGTGTGGATGAAATGGTTTCACTGATTTATGCTCTGGATGTTTGAAGGCTGTGCAGATGACTTCCACTACACTAGCCAGGGTCAGAACCCAGTCATGGACGGAGTGGATGATGCTAGAGAGATGTGTAATACTAGGAAGGCTTTCTCGCTGTTAGGTAAGTATGGGTTGCATGAATGTGCCTTAAGAACACACAGTTGATGACAAAACAAGCGAGCAAACTAAGAAGATGTATTTAGTTCCCAAATGATTTAAAATAAAGCCACTGGTCTTTCACATTACATTTCAGTTCAGAAAATGCCAACATCCCAGTTATTATGCTCTATGGAAACTGGACAGTTATTTTCATTTAATGTTTTTAAAAAAAATTCCTTCGAGCCGGATTTGAACCAGCGACCTAAGGATATCAGCGTTAGCCACTACAGTCCTCCGCTCTACCAACTGAGCTATCGAAGGCTGACGTAAGAGAGACCGCAGTAAGCTTAAGAACATGTCACCGCAAGAGACAGAAAACTAATTCTGCTGTACAGTATAGACATTTTAAACCAGACTGAAGTTTGCTGGGAAATACGAAGATTTGACACCTGGTGAAGCATATTATTTTGAAGGACGAGATAAAGGTTGAACTTGTCATTGAGACGCTATTTGCGTTCAGAGAGAGCAAACCCACGTCGCCCTAAACACATGATCCCCTCAGTGAAAGTCTGAGGCAGGATTGTAATGATGTGAGGAGCTGGTGCATGTAGAAGTGTGAAATCTTGTGAGGCTGAAGGAAAATTGAATTGAGCGTCGCTCTGGGAAACATTTAGCAATCGCCAACAACAATAATTAAATCGTCGTTCACATGGCAATGACCGAAAGCCCAGCTGACAATAATCTTACACGAAAAAGACCAGGCTCCATGCAAAAAGGACGATCAGATTGGGCGGAACATCAAATGACTACTGCTAGTTAGCCAGAAGAGAACACTTTGACTTCAATGAGATGATCTCTCGCTCAGTGTGAAATTATTGGGGAAAATAGTTTGTCCTTAGCTTTATATCTGTCCAGAAAAATGTGTTCATATCTTTGAATTGCTTGACACAAATAATACACAGATAATTTACTTTTTAAAATTTTCTTTGTACCACAGGTATTGGTGAAAATGACCAAATGGAAATATATAAAATTCTGGCTGCTTTGCTTCATCTGAGTAATGTTGAGGTGAGGGAACAGTCAGGGGAGAGAAGCAGCATCTTGGTGAGTGCAATATTATGAATGTAATAAAAAAAGTCTGGTACGTTTACTGTATTAATGCTAATATTATATGTATATTGCAATGTGTTACCAGCCAGATGATGTCCACCTGATGGCGTTTTGCGAGCTGATGGGCGTGCAGAGTGAAGAAATGGCCCACTGGTTTTGCCACAGGAAACTGAAGACCACTACAGAAACCTTTGTGAAGTCTGTAGCCAAAATCAATGCGGTCGCCAGCAGAGATGCCTTAGCTAAACACATCTATGCCAAACTGTTCAGCTGGATTGTGGACAGTATCAACGGTGCCTTAAAGTCTGCACTGAAACAACACTCCTTCATTGGTGTGCTGGACATTTATGGGTATGCTGTCACATATTAGTGTGTATATCAATTTCAATTATCTTGGATGGTATGGTTTGTTACAATTTGGACCTGGATTTCTCCCCAGGTTTGAAACGTTTGACGTCAACAGCTTTGAACAGTTTTGCATCAACTATGCCAATGAGAAACTTCAGCAGCACTTTAATCTGGTTGGTGTCTGTTGTTGCTCAACGCTTTTATTTTCTTTATTTCTGCAGACTGTATTGATCTGTTTATTCATCTGTCATCTCTTCCCTGCAGCATGTTTTCAAACTGGAGCAGGAGGAATACATGAAGGAGGAAATCCCATGGACGCTGATAGACTTCTATGACAACCAGCCCTGCATTGATCTCATCGAGGCTAAGTTGGGCGTCCTCGACCTTCTGGATGAGGAATGCAAGGTCAAATAGCAGTTTTACTGTACTCCTCCAAAACATGTTGAGCTTCTTCCCACTGCAGAAATCTCCACCACACATTTGGAGGTAATGAGTAATGTCATGACTAACTGATGTGTCAGCTCTTCCTCTTTCCACAGATGCCCAAAGGCTCGGATGACACGTGGGCTCAGAAAATGTACAATACGATCTTGAAGCAGAATGCTCACTTTGATAAACCCAGGTTATCAAACAGAGCTTTCATCATCCACCACTTTGCAGATAAGGTACTTGACTCTGCACTTACAGTAGAAACAATAGTACAAGTCGAATATACACACAGCTTAATGCTAACCTCATCTTCTTGGTTTCACAGTATTTATTTTACATCCCTCACAAGGTCTCAATGTTATAGTGACAGAGATGTATTTTTGTAGTGCTTGTGGCTTTGTCACGTAATGTTTTAGAATTAGAATTGCAAATTAGGTTTGTGATAGTTTTAGATCTGTAATAGATGAGAAAATAGAGATGAGCTGATCAAACACTGATCAACTGATCAATAACTGGATCAATCCTTAAACAATATGCTTCACTTAGCATGGGCTTCGTGTTGTGAAGTCAGTTCTCTGATACACGCTCAGTAACCAGCACTCAAGGTTAGGCTGATAGTGTCTGCTTCAAATGTAGTAGCATTATGTCCACCTCAGTATTGAGGATTATTTGTGGCCAAATTGTTTGTGACCGTGTGTTGTTCATATCTGTATTTCTAGTCAATTGACATTGTATCTAACACAAAAGGTTTAGAAAGTCTTTTCAGGTTTTAAAACTGTGACTTTAAAGATTAAAGGAAGTGGTCTGTAAGGAGCCTTTGTTTTATGTTGGTTCTAACAAAGTGTCGGGCCATGAAACTGTCAACGGGAATTCTCTCCTTCCTTTGTGCAGTGTATTTTTTATCTGTTTTTTTTTTTCAAACTACAGGCAGGTTTAGTTCTGAATATGCTTGGAGAAAATGATTCTGTACATGACTGTGTTTGCCCTTTAACAAACTGACATCTCATCCTGGATACAACTAGCACTTTCATACACGCTCCTTTGCCCAGTACAGACCGGGGTGACTCATGCTTCCTGGTACCATGAAAACGTTGATGCTTGGAAAAGTTTGCCTCCAAAAATCTGTTCACTCTTTGGTCAAAGAAAATGACTCTGTGTGGCCTTTTTGTGCCTAGGTGGAGTACCAGTGTGACGGCTTCCTGGAGAAAAACAAGGACACTGTCAATGAGGAGCAGATAAATGTGCTGAAAAAGAGCAAGGTGAAAGTCTGTGTGCAATAATTTAACATGCTCCCCACAGCCACCCCACACAATCATCTGTTTTTTTGAGTGTCAGTTCAAGACATTTACATATTTAAAGACGTATTCACGGTCTCCCAGAAAAATGTTCTCCTGTGATGTAAATCATCAGGTACACGCCCTGGAAATGCTCAGTTAAACTGTTAAGGGAAAAACGCCCAGTGTTGAATTAAAGGTAGAAAACACTGCCACCTGCTGTTTAGATGACACCTTCATATTTCTGCTTTCTTTGACGATTGTTTTTGCAGTTTGAGTTGCTGCTGAAATTAGTTGAGGATGATGACAACGCAACAAGTTCTACAAGCAAACGTCCCAGCACCACTGGAAGGACTGGACAGAGTCAAAGGGACAAAAAGAAGACAGTTGGACTGCAGGTGGGAGCATGACAACACAAACTACACTGTTTGTGTTTGACGGGCATCAATTCTTAACAGTCACATCCACCTCATGCTATACACACAAAAGATGTATTTAGTACGTGGATATGTCAAAGATCAAGAATGAACAGCCCTGCTGTGATCAAACATGCCTGAGAGTTTTTGCAGTTTTTATACTTTTTTTGAGGGATACAAAAATACTTAATATACGTTATAACATAAAATAATAGATTTTTAAGAAAATACCCTGAACACAGTCATGTTTCTATTATACTGTGTGTGCAGTTTTATAAGAAATGTAGAGGAAAAATACTTTTATAATTTTGGGATGTTGTTATGAAATGACTTATCTTCTGAGAAGATAAAACACAGGTTTTATCTTCTCAGTAGATTTCTGGGTGGTCACTGATCTATACTTTTATTCTATTGTTGTTTCAGTTTCGACAGTCTCTCCATTTGCTCATGGACACTCTGAACGCCACCACTCCCCACTACGTGCGCTGCATTAAGCCAAATGACCATAAAGCCCCCTTTACGTAAGGCTCAGCGTGAGGTTCACATGCATTTTTTAAGTGCTTTTAGCTGCAGCACACACAAATGAATGCATTGTTTTTGTTAACTTTTAAAAGCCTGGACCCAGTGAGGGCAGTACAGCAGCTGAGGGCCTGTGGTGTTCTGGAGACAATCAGGATCTCAGCAGCAGGATTCCCATCCAGGTAGCATATAGCTAATTCACTTGTCATTGTTAATTAACGTGTTTGTAAAACTTTATCCCTCTTGACATTGTATTCACTGATTCAATATGACAGGTGGACTTATCACGAATTCTTCAACCGTTACCGCGTCCTCATGAAACACACAGACATTCTTGATGATGGAAAACAGACTTGCAAAAATTTGGTGGAAAAACTAGTAAAGGTTTGTCTGAGTTTTTATAGTTATTGTTCATAGCAAACTTGTCTTTTATTAATAATAACATTTCTATTTTTGTCCCTAGGACCAGGACAAGTATCAGTTTGGCAAAAACAAGATCTTTTTCAGAGCTGGACAAGTGGCTTATCTGGAGAAGCTGCGTTCTGACAAGCTGCGTCTGGCCTGTGTCCGCATCCAGAAGACTATTCGCTGTTGGCTGGCCCGCACAAAGTACCTGAGGATGAAGAGTTCTGCCATCACCATTCAGAGATATGTACGGGGCCACCAGGCACGCAGGTGAGTTTAGAATTTATTTGACCTGCAGAACTTCCTGTTTGATGGTATTTTCCTTTGTAATTTTTTTTTTTTACAAGTATCCTTTGTAATTCTTTTCTCTTAGTTACGTCAAATGTCTGCGAAGAACCAGGGCTGCTGTTGCCATTCAGAAGCATGTCCGTATGTGGATCTGTAGGAGGCGCTATCAGCAGCAGCGCAGCGCAGCTCTTACCATCCAGTCCTTCTTGAGGGCCTATATGGCTAGGAAGCAGTACTATAAGGTAATCTGCAAAATAATATCAGTCAATACTGGAATAGGTATAAATGTCAATACAACCTTACTGGTTTGACTAGTGGTTACCAGAGAAAACGTTTGACCTTACTTACACTTGACTGTTGGGACTACACATACTGCAAAGGTGTGTGTACTGCATATACTGCAATGTAGCACATTTATTCACATTTTTTAATTTAAAGACCCAGAATTCTCTTCTCCTGAGTAAAGTATGGTGGTTTAAGTTCAAGTCACAAAATCAGGGCTTGAGTAAGAAATCAGGCATTACATGTACAGTATCAGAACTGTCATTGTGAAAGTTCTGTACTTCAGTAGTGAAACAATATGACTTGTTAATGCAATACTGTCCATCCTTTTTGTAGTTGATGTTTGAGCAAAAAGCATTGATCATCCAAAAGTGGACGAGAGGCTGGCTGGCCAGGAGGCGATACAGACGCACCGTGGCAGCACTTGTTCTGCTGCAGACCTGTGTGCGCCGCATACAGGCCAAGAAGGAACTTAAGAAGCTGAAAGTGGAGGCACGCTCAGTGGAACGCTTCAAGAAGCTCAACATTGGCATGGAAAACAAAATCATAGGGTTGCAGCACAAGATAAACGATCAGGTGAGAATTGAGAAAATTTGGGTACTTGTTTTTGCTCTGTGTTTATTAGTTGTTTACTACAGGAAAATGTAACTGGAGACACCAGGTCACTGGGAGTTGTTGAATCACATGCACTGCATGCGTGTGCATCTTCCCTTGCAGCAAAAAGAAAACAAAGAGCTCCGTGACAGGCTGAGCGCTGTGGAGAATTTGCAGAACACCGAGAGAGGCAGACAGAGCAAAGAGATCGAGAACCTACGTAGGTCAGAGCACGAGGCCAGAGCCAAGGCAGAGGCACTCCCCTCCCTGCTGGAGCAGCTCTCCTTCCTTCAGCACGAGTTGGAAAACACACGTAAGGAGAAGGAAAACCTGGAGGAGCACAAGACAGCCTACATGGAGCAAACACAACAGGTCGGAAATGCTGATATGTTTCTTCATGTGTTTCCACTCGTACTGCCTTCCAGCTACTGTACATTTGTTTTGTATATACATAGTATTTATGATGGACTAAACATGCTTTTTGTCCCGTCTAGTTTACTCAATGTGAGCCTAAGGTTATATTATGGTGAGCAGGGTTGAAATATAGCAGTTTGCTTTGTGTTTGTGTATTCATTACTTTCTATCAAATCTGAAGAAGACATTTCTTGAGGTGTGATAAAGTAATTTTAGATGTTCGGCTGTGCTTATGAGTCTCAGGTGTCACCCTACAACTTCCTAGTGTGTATCTTCAAGTGATCTTTAAGTCGCTATTTAGTTATTTTAACGAGTCACTGTGATTTTTTTTTTTAACAGTAGGATGGTTATTTGATATAGAATTTAACATGTTAGAAAAATGCATTGCAAATGTTGCCCTTTCTTCCCCTCAGGTCATAGAGGAGCTTAATTTGAAGAACAGCTTACTGAGCAGTGAAAAAGAAGAGCTGAATACACTGATCATTGAACAGGATCAGCAACTAACAGGTACCTGGACGTTTGTCTTAAACATCAGCAGCTGAGGAAGAAGAGTAGGTTTTTAAATAAACCCGCTTTAACTGTTTTCTCCCAGATATTAACGTCAATGTGGAGAATACAAAACAACTGGAGAAGGACTTGGGTGAAGAACGTTGTCGTTACCAAAGTCTGCTGAGTGAACACCTGCACCTGGAGGAGCAGCACAGAGACCTGCAAGAGGAGATGAGGATAAAATCCAGCACTGTGAGAAGCATGAGTTTTCATTACATTACCTGACACTTGAAACTTCTTTATTCATGGTTGTGTAATGTGGTAATTTCAAGCTGTTGTCACACAATAGCGACATCAGTCCAACTGTGTGTGTGTGTCTTTCCATAACTTATTTCTGGGAATGTTTTGTTTTCTTTGTCACATGTAAACAGAGTTCAAGCAACTCTGATCACAAGAGGACGGACTCCAACTACAACAGTAACACGTCCGACCTCAGTCTGAGTTTAGGCTCCACAGAGGGAGAGAGAAGCTCTGCACAAACAGAGGTAACACTTCACTATAATATAAAAACAGTCGGTGAAGATGACACTCATCTGACTCGTTTAGTTCAAATTTGAAAACTCTTGCCATATTTTAAATAAGGTATTCTTTCTAAAGTAGATTCTTCTGCTAAAATTCATGTGACACTTTGCTGGTAAGGAAAGGGAGGGAACATCATAGTCTGTTGTTAAATGTGAAGACGACTTCACGCACAGGGAATTGGACATGCATTCCTTAGAACAACCGTTTCACTCTGTTCTAATTCCATTAGTGCAGCACTGTAGTTACATTATGGAGATACTAATCAGTAAATTCCTACTGTGCCGTGTCAGGATGACATCCGGTCCACTATGGACCTGCCCGTCCTTTTGAAGCTCCAGAGGAAAGTGAAGGAACTGGAAAAGGATAAAGTGTCACTGTGGCAGCAGATGGACAAGAAGGAAGAAGCCCAACAGGAAAACGCTAAAGTATAAACTTACTAAAAGACCAAATGTGTTTAGTCTGATGCCACTTTTAATTAATTAATTTGTTATTATTGTGTGTGTTTTTCCTGAAAGGAATTGGAGGAACAGAAGGCTGTTGCCAGAGCAGAACTGGATTTAGAAATCCTGAAGGTATGAATGTCGGCCATTGTCTATATATTTGTTTTCATTCAAAGTCTGTTCCAATCAATGGGAAACTGTTCATAGAGAGTCATCAGTAAAAGAAACTGTCCATATAAATGTGTCTGTAAGAAGAAAATGGAAGATAAATGTCAGGAAAGTTATTTATTTTATTTTATTTATAATGCAGCGACAAGAGTTGGAATCTGAAAACAAGAAGTTGAAGGATGATCTCAATGAGCTGCGCAACTCTCTGACCAATGAGAATAGTGATCTAGCGCCTCCTGCTCCTGGATCCTTGCCTTACAGTATCCTACTGGAACAACTCAACTCCTCCAATGAGGAACTGGACATGAGGAAAGAAGAAGTGTTGCTCCTCAGATCACACATGGTTCGGCAAGAAGCGCTGAAACACAAGGTGAGATAAATACAAAACATTATTATTTTCCCCCAGTTATTAAGCAAAATGTATTAGATGTTTGATTTTTTTTGTGTGTGTTCTTACCTGTAGGACTCTGCGTTGAGAGGAAATGTCAACTTGAACCTTTGTGAAATCCCCTCATTCCAAGATGATGACAGGTAGGAGCAGTGAACTCATCACCTGAACATGATGTTCCTTATTCACTCCAGGCACATGAATAATTACTCTATAACGTGTTATAAAGTGTCATTTACAAAAGAAGAAATATAAGAACTGATCTTTGTTCACAGTGAATCAGATGGCAGACTCTTTGGTCCGTTACTTAAAGTGGTAGTCTTTGTTTCGTTGCTTTTCCAGCAACTGATAACGTTCAAATGTAAGCTTTACTCTTTAATTTAAATGTAAAGATTGGAGGCTTGCACAGTAAAAATGTATTCTATGATTTAACATCACACAAGGTTAAGTCAAAATGTTCTAAAACATTTAGAACATTGTTATTTTTTCCATCTGTCTGAGCTTAATAACTCTTTTCCTGAGCCGTGTCACAGATCATCAATCGAATCATTGGTCGAATAATTCAACATTAAGAATTTTTTTCTTTTTTGAAATCAGGACAAATGTTTGACAATTTTTTAGTCCTTAGTCCTCAGTCGAGAAAAATAATGTAACTGTTTTTAATTAATAAAAATGTAATTTTGTGTCTGTGTGAACCAGAATCACGGTCTTATGATTTTCTGACTCTCCTCTACAGACCTGCTGACATTCAAAATCTGAACGAGGATGGAGAGCTGTGGCTGGCTTATAAAGGCTTGAAGGAGACCAACAGGTAAATGATAATAATAATAAGAAGAACAATGATAGGAAGACTGTGTTTTAGGTTGTCATATACACTAAGAACCAAATACTATCTCTATTCTTTTATTAGACTCCTGGAACACCAGATGCAGGAGCAGGAACGTCTCAACAATGAAAAGTTTAAGAAACTGGTCGAGGAGGTGAATAAGCTGAAAGAGGAGAAGGAGCAGCAGAAGAAGATGTTCAGTCAGAGCCTCCTCTTGCCTGAAGATGCCAGAATTGATGCGGGACTCAAGCACGAGATCACGCGGCTCACTAATGAAAACCTGGTAGGTCTTGTAGAATAAAATAACCAGTTTAACAATGTATATATATTTAATGGCTCAGAATAAGACAAGTGGTCAAATTGTATGATTTATTGTTTATTTTTTATGGATGTTAACAGTTTTTTAAAAAATATATTTAGGAACTCCAAAATCAACAGGAGAAACAGGAGAAAAATCTACGCAAGTTGAAGAAACAACTTAAATTTTTCATGAAAAAAGTTGAGGATTTTGAAGGTAATTTCTAAATTCTGACTATTATTGATATGTGATATGTGAGTTCTGTGTGTTCTGATGTTGTGTTCTTGCTTAAAACAGCAAATGTACAGCAAATGAATGAAACTCCCAACACAAGTGCTGCTGTCAGGGGAGTAAATATCACCCGTAAAGAGAAAGATAAGCAGGGCATGTTGGAGTACAAGATGGGTGAAGAGACCATCCTGCTTAAAAATCTAATTGTTGGTATGTTTTGCCCAGAGTTTTTTTTTTTTGATAAATCTTTGAATAGTTATAAATGGATGGGGGATGACGATGTTTTCTTCTCAGATATGAAGCCTCGTGGTGTAGCGGTCAGCTTCCTTCCTCATCTTCCGGCCTACATTATCTTCATGTGCCTGCGATACGCGGACACTGTGAATAATGATCGGAGAGTCAGCACGCTGCTCCACAGCACCATCAGCTGCATTAAAGGAGTCATTAAGGTGCAGTGCATGCCTCGGACATCTGTATATGAAGGGTTTTTAAACTGCACTCATTCATTTTCAAGTGTGTTCTTGTTTCACTCTCTAAAGAGAAGAGGAGAGGACTTCGATGTGATGTCCTTCTGGTTGGCCAACACATGTCGGTTAATGAACTGTCTGAAGCAGTACAGCGGCGATGAAGTAAGATGTTTGTTAAGAATTAATAATCTTTGTATGACCAAACACAGTCAGACTTGTTTATGCCCATTTGCTCATTGCAGTTACAGTAAATGCACCACTTCTTCTCTCATGTCTCAAAGTAAACACCTACCTTCCTTGTCGTTCATTATAGAGTGGACTTATGCCTGTGCTGATTATCTGTCTTTTTATTTATACTGTAGGTCTACACATCACAGAACACTCCTAAGCAAAATGAGCACTGCTTATCCAACTTTGATCTGTCAGAATACCAACATGTGCTGGGTGACCTGGCTATACAGATCTACTATAGGCTCATCAAATGCATGGAGGACACCATACAGCCAATGATAGGTGAGTAATCTGATTTTGCTTAATACTGTTTTATACTCATTAAATGTACAACTACAATACAGCAGCACTGAGTCCCTTTTCCCATTTCACATCTAGTGGCCTGCATGCTGGAACATGAGGCCATCCAGGGAGTGGTGGGATCCAAAAACACAAGACAGAGGAGACGAACCACAAGTTTCTCAGATGAAGGTGCTGTGACGTTAGAAAACCTCCTGCAGCATCTGAGCCATTTCCACACCACCATGAAGCAGCACGACATGGACTTGGATCTCATCAAACAGGTGATAAAACAGCTGTTTTACACCATCTGCGCAGTCACACTCAACAACCTGCTGCTGAGGAAGGACATGTGCTCCTGGAGCAAAGGCCTGCAGATCAGGTACAACAAAGACTACACACTGGTAGATTAAAGTTTTATGCTTTTTGTCCTGTCATCGGTTCCTTTAATATGTCATCCACAATTACTTTGCAACATAACAGATTTAAATCTGTGCACCAGTCCCAATACTCTGGTCGTTGTCACTGTTGTTTTCACCAGAGCTGGCAGTTCTGGAGCTGCCATGTTTTTATAGTGAATAGTCAGTGCGGTGACCCAGTTCTATAGAAAGGGAAAAGGAGGTGGAGCCTGCTCCTACATAGGCTGTGCATTAGAATGAAACCACATGTAGTGTAGGAAATCTCTGTAAACATGACTGTGAAGTTATAATTACATTTAGGGTAATTTAATTATAACCTCTATACACAATTGTCCATTAACACAGTAGTCTTACATTAGCAGTGTGAAGTCGTTCAAGTCTCTCTTTAATAGTCTATTGCTGCTTATTTCTCTGGAATCAGGTACAATGTCTGGCAGTTGGAAGAGTGGTTGACAGAGAGGGAGCTGACAGACTGCGGTGCCAAGGAAACTCTGGAGCCTCTGGTCCAGGCTGCTCAGCTTCTGCAGATCAAGAAGAAGACTGACGCAGACGCTCAGGCCATCAGCAGCATGTGCACGGCTCTCACTCTTGCACAGGTCCTTCATGTTGTACAACTTTAGTAAATTCAGAAGGTCAACAATGCATTTTTTGCAATTTCTAATTATTGCTGACTTTTATCACCAGATTACAAAGGTGTTGACCCTGTACACTCCAGTGATTGAATTCGAAGAGCAGGTTTCGCCGGCTTTTATTACGACAATAAATGTGAGTCAATGAGAAGATTTAATAAATGTCTTTTTGCACTTTTACACCCGCTCTTGCGTTTAGCGTACACTGTTTCCCCTCATGTTACTATGTCTTTTCTGTGTTTAGAACATTTTAAAGGACAGAATGGAGGAGCCATCCACTTTGATGATGGACAGCAAGAAGATCTTCTCTGTCTCGCTCCCCTTCACTGCCTCGTCTGTGGCTCTGGAGACCATTCAGATTCCTGCCAGCCTCAATCTGAGCTTCCTCCACCCAGTGTAGACTCACAGCCACTGTGACTTTGTTGTGTTTACCAAATTATATCCAATGTTTGAAAAAAACAAAACATTTTCCCACCTTTTTAGTCCTATGAAAAGTTTAGATCTGAATGTATTATTGACCAACTAAATGCACATTATTTTACTGTTAAAGTTGAAATGTTTTAAATTGAGGTAAAGAATTTCCAAATGATTTTGTTGTTACAATATCTTTTATAAATGTGAGACCTGGGGCTTTTGGTCACTTTTAATGATAATTGTATTTCAATAACTGGATTTGCACATGACCAAGATTGCCCTGCTTTAAAAAAATATGTATAAATATATATATTTTTCTGTTGATGTTTGTTTGGAGAGACAGTCTGTTCACATTTTTATAAAGTTTAATTGATCTTATAGATCACATTTTTAAAAAGATAAGGTAATGTAACAGGTCTTTTATTCATGCTACAGTGGGGAAATTCAAATGTATTATTATTTTTTTAATTTTTTTTTTCCAACAATATAATGAGTTTAAATACAATTCTCTCGCTCCTCCCTGACATGTTATCTTGCACAGTACGAACTAATATTATTAATAAGACAAGATAAGAACCTTAAGAACAATTTATTTATTTTTATTTAATTTTTTTTAATCCAAAAAAATTGAACGATACTGTGTATCAAGTCATGTGCTGGGTCACATTTATTTTTTGTAATAAATCAACCACCCTAACTACCGTTCACACAGCGTGAGGTGACTAAGTTGTAGTTATGGCGATATCCGGTTTGTTGCACCGTAAATCCTTGATCAAACTAGCACACCTACTTTGTCAAGCCGCTGTCACAAGGCAGATGGGCGGAGTCATGGCAGCAGGTAAATGGCAAGATGAATAGGAAAAACCGGAAATTACTTGGCGCGGTTTTCAGAATAAAAAAAGTTACTGATGTCTCGGGATGTTTTAGTATACATGTAACAATGTTACAGCTAATGCATATAGAATTTCTAATAATTATTTAGAAATATTATTTTTTTAATGACCATCATTAAAATCGATAGAGTCTGGAAAAACCATCGCTTTCATTGTGGCCCAAATATGTGCCTTAAATCATTCTAATGCGAGTTCAATAACTGTTGTAGTTT